AAAAAAAAAAGAATTTCTGATTTCTGCTCTCCAGTTTTGCAGTTCAAAACAAAGCACTAGATGTACCCAACCCTTCCCCCTCCTGCTGTAGGCATCTGGCAATCTCCTCACCCTGGCCGTAGCAGAGAGCCCTCTGCCCATGTTTTGCCGCAGGCACGGACATCACCAATCCTGGGGGCTGCCGAAGCCAGGAGCAGGGCCAGCAACCAGTGCTCAAGCAGCCGTCACTGGCAGCTCTGCGTAAGGCAGCCGGCGCCGGCACTGCGGCGACTCCAGTGCTGCAACACCGGTAATCCTTGCAGAGCAGAGGAGCTCCCAGCATGGGTCCCAGCCCTGCGCGGTGCTTATGCCCCTCTGGCCCCGCTTCTCCCGAGGACCGCGCAGATCGCATACGTACGGTGGTGCAGCGGGCGCCTCCAGAGCTGGCGCTGGCACGGTACCCACGGCGCCAGGTGCCACCAGCATGGGCCGGGATGGAGATGGAGGAAGGTTGCCCTGACAACTGCCGACAGCCCGCCCTCTGAGCTGGCAGCGCCGCTGCGGCCTGCCTGGAGCTGCCTACCCACTGCACGTGCTGCATGGGTGGGTTCGCTGCCGCCCTTGCCTCTGCCCGCTGCATTGGAGCASAGGCAAGGAGGGAAGGAGCCAAAAAGGCTCTACAGATCCCGGAGCGTGCCAAGCTTGCAGCCAGGCTGGGGGTGCTTATGGTTTTCTCAATGTGAGGTTTTCCCATCAGGATCTGGTGGTAAATCAGTACTGTCTGGGGAAAGGATTTGATTCTCTGATTTCTCCATCCTGGCTGGATGATGCAGCCAGGATGGAGGTAAATTATGGACTAGAGAACCATTAGAGACCACGTCTTATACCCAATGGATCCTCTCTGGTCCAGAGTGCTTCACTACGGAGGAAAGGGTTTTGCTCAGCCATCAGGGTCTCACATTCGTAGGTCACCACATTCAGCAGCTGCTTCCAGGCTTTTCCAGGAGACCTAGCTCTTCACAGGTGGCAGCCATTCCTCAAGCCTAGGAGGTCCTAGCATCACCTTGCTCTCTTGTCTTGGCTTTGATGTTTGTTCCTTCATGGTCGCTCCTTCAAAAAAACTTCCATCCTTCCCATGATGATTTTCCCAAAGCAACCTGCCTTCCCACTCCTAGGAACGCAAACTTCTCTTGGGTAGCAGAAATAGCACTACCTGGCTAAAGCAAGGGGTCATGTGTCAGGTGGAACTGCTTTTGCTACAGAGGAACATTTTGCTGTGGCTTTAGTGACAGGATTTCTGGCTCCATAGCAGTCACCTGGCTATTTTTGTACCAAAAATGTGGAAATGCAAATGCTCTCCCTGAGCAATAAATCAGGGCAATGTGAGATATCCCCAACATGGAGCCATTTATTGCTCTTCTATTTTTATTTATTTTATTTTATTTTATTTTATTTTATTTTATTTTATTTTATTTTATTTTATTTTATTTTATTTTATTTTATTTTATTTTATTTACTTATTTAACTATTATTAGGACTCTCCTCCTACTAGCTCTGGAGTAAGAATTGGTGGAAAATAGAAGCTGACATTTCAGCTGCCCTTTTCAGACACTGCTGTCTTAAGAAGAAACTTTACTTCACTTACAGCCTAAGCTCATAGTTAAGGATCATGTAATGAAGGACTGTGGCCAAAATGAGGTGCATCCCTTCTGCAGAAGGCTGTAACAGGGATGAAGTGGGTGGCTTAAGGCAGTAACACCTTTGAGCACTTCAGCAAGATTCACCTGATGACACTTGCCACCTGCAATTTGAACACTGTTCGCTAGTTTTCATTGCAAAGTCAATGTGAGAAATGTGCAGCTTCACACACAAATAGCAGAGCAATCCCGAAGCCAAGTCATTACCGTAATTTGATTGCAGCTTCATAGCCTATCCTACTTTCTTACAGGGTGACTTTCTGTGCCTGTCACCTAGAAATGGACTGGTGGCCTTGGAGTGTCCCCTAGAGCCCTGAGTTTCATGCTGAGGAGGGGGAATTGCACAGGAGCATCCTGTTGGACTAAGTGCCCTACAAACACATTATCTGGCAATATCTGCTTCAAAATGCCAAGAGTTTCATGGAAAAGCATAGATTCAAGCAGGTATGTGAAGCAGAAGGAGAAMAGGGCAACGCTCATCAGTACAAAGACTGAAGTCTAGCCCTATCACCTATCCTTTCCTCCACCTTTCCTGTCTTTACGCGATGTTCTACCTCCCCTAACTGCCTTCCCCCGACTCTGGATGAAGCCTGGTTTCTGTTCTCTGGGCTAATCTTTACCTAAGGGACCAAAGGATGCTAGAAATATCTATCCAGTGCATGCAGTTTATTCCAGAYTTGCCTGCAGGATTATCTCATTTTCACCCGTGCTATTGCCTGATGCCCTTCCCATCAAAAGTGACCTTGGCACTATAACCAGTCCACCTGGGTGGGAATACGTAAMTAATCATCCCATTATCAGCAAGCCTGTGTGGACCCTAAACAGATGCCATTTACCCACAAAAGTGCTGATGGCTGCGAAAGCCTGTGCAGCACTAGACGCTGGAGAAGCAGAGCCATATGCCCTAAAAAGAGATGCCACAGGATTATATTTCCTACTTTCTTCCCCTGAGGAGAAAATCCATCTTGTAGCAACCAGGGGACTGCAGAGAAGGGGGCCTCATGGCTCATGCTCTCTGGTAGGGGTGCAAGCTGTTCAGGATGGGCTCTGTGCCATTGCAAAGAGACAGCTGAGAGGTGAGTGCACAGGCTGCTTTCTGCACGGGATGCTTGGCATTGTCCCCTTCTCCTCCAATATGCTCCCAGCATGATAGTCGGCTCCTTTTSTGCCCTGCAGAGGTGGGAGTCAGGGTCTTCCCCTTCCCCAGTGAAGAAAGCATCCTTATGTTCCGCTGACTCCATCCCAGCATGTGTCCTGATCCATGGATAAAAGGCCATGTTTGCTCCACTTGGATTTGGGAAGGCTGTTCGCTGCACAGCAATTGTTTATCTGCTAAGAAATCAACACCTGACACTTTGTATATTTTGACTATTTTGACAGCTGGCTAATAAAAATATGCCTTCATCCCCAGCCTTGCCTTGCACAATCATGCTGGCATTTTATCTTCAGATACAAGGGTTTGGGGTTTTTTTTTTTTTTTTTTTTTTTTTTTTGGTTTCCTGAATCTTGCATTTTGAATTCAGTGTCTGCCTAGTTATTAACTCTTCTGCTCTCTTCCTGAACTCATTAACATCACTTCAGATTAGGTAGAATATTAGTGCTGCAGATTGCCTGTTTTAGTTTCCTTCTACTCTCTGCAAGGGGCACARGTAATACCACATCAAGTGGTAAAGTAAAATAATCTAGATAGGTGGAAATCCTGGTCCTTGTGGAGTAAACCTTACCAAATGCATCCAGATCATTTGCACCTGTGTCAGTGCACATTAGCCAAATTCGAGCTTTTTCTTTTATTATCAGGCTGATGTCCTGGAAAGAGGAAGTCCAGGGCATCAGCCCAATAATACAAAAAAAAAAAAAAGCAAGATTTTGACCAATGTACTATTGACAACTGGTCATACAAATGGTCTTGAAAAGAATTGACAGCCTTGATAGACACAGGACAAATTAGTGACACAAAAGTTACTCGTCCATTGTATATTTTTTTTTTCTTAAGGCAGAGAACTGTGGCAAAAGATGTAGGATGACAGGGAAAATTGTGTGGTGTGGCTTGTTCCAGGTCATGGAGGAACTTCAACTCCTCAAGCACTGATTCCCTGCCTAAAAAGGAGGTGACAAAGCACTGGAACAGGCTGCCCAGAGAGGTTGTGGAGTCTCCTTCTTTGGAGATCTTTAAAACCCGCTTGGATGCAGCCCTGTGCCACGTGCTCTAGGTGACCCTGCGTGAGCAGGGGGGTTGGACTCGATGACCTCTGAGGTCCCTTCCAACCTTCAGCATTCTATGATTCTATGATTCTATGATTCTATGATTTTTCTCCCATTGTAGCTGGCACAACCATGTAACATTTTCCATGCCATTGTCCTCCTTCTACTGATGGTCTAATGGGGATGAGCACTGTGAGGAGGTGACTGAAAGCCCTTGAAGCATTTCTCACCTTATACTTCTTCTATAGGTCTTTCGTGAGTGACTTGATTTTTTTTTCTATACTCCAAAACATTCAGAAAATGTGGCAAC